TACGAACAATTGGTTTAGGTTTTCAAGCATATTACGCACAAGATACTGATGGAAGCCCAAGCGATCGTCCGAATGATCGTAGTCTACTGCACCCTCATTACATTGCCAGATGGTTACAACTTTTGAAAACGAAGTAGATAACTTAAATACTTCGTGTGTTATATCTATGGTGAGATGGTACCGGATAAGGGTGTTAGGATTGGATACGGGGACAACTTTCATCACTGTTTTACTAACCAGGTATTTGCGCATGAACGCCAAACTTAAAGTTCAATTACCACAAGAAGTATTAGTTGATTTAATAGAACGGAAGTAGCTAGCCTCCTTAAACCCAATCCTAACGCCTAATTTTTATCTTTTATTGGCGTGATTTTATTAGGTTCCCTGAGCTTAAGGGACATGACCGAAACTTCATGGTAATCAATCCAAACCTTTTTTTACTTGCAATTCACGTTGCACTGGCAAACAGAACTGATGAAGAAAGAAAGGGCCTAGGAGTCATCTCAATTTTGAGCCTGAAAGCCATCATAGTTGAACTTCATTCACAACTTCCTTTGTGTGCTCTGAGCCCCGGACTGCTGCTCGACCCAGCAACACTCGCTTTAAGGGCTTGCAACTACCGGTGACAGCTACTGGCTCTACTCGCACGCTTCTCTGATTCTGAGAGAAAATTTCATGTGCGCATGTATCGGAGTGGGTGCTGCGTTGCTTTAGCAGGCTGCAGCACTTCAAAAGAAACTAGTTTTCCCATTTTTAGTTAATCTTGGAGTAGCCGTTAGTGGTGGTGATAATGATATGCTTTGCTACAGATCACTCAATTTCACGACAACTTATTTATTGACGTAGGCAGGAGACTTGTTAATTCCTAAAATAAAAAATATGAAAAGGGGAACACTTTACAAATTTTCTTTATAATACACGAATAGTCTTCCTGTTATCTTCAATGCTCGAGCACGGTACTTTATTTGGCAATGGAATACCTGGGCCTTCAGCCGACTTTAAATGACCGTGTTAACTACCTACACAGTCTGAGGTTAAAGTTTGTTAAGAAATCTAATAATAAATTTGTTATTTTTATTTAAACTAAACGAATGAAAACTGGTCAAACAATTCATTCTGATAATTACTGTGATCGGGTGTAATAATCATAGGAAAGCAAGTCTTTAGAACTAATTTCTTTCACCTCAGAGGCTCGAGTCAGGGGTGGCGCCTACGCTAACTGATCCGTTATGCCAGTTTTGGGAGCGGGTTGCCTAAATTAAGGGTCCTCACTGTCTTGTGTCTTTAGCACATTTTGGACTGTACGTAAAATATCGTACCTATAAGCATAACGCGTTCTATGGTGAAAGTGAGGAAATATTCACCTTTCTGAAGTCGCACAAATATATGAGTGCACCTGAATTATTTAGTAGGCTCAGACAAATTTCACTCAAGTTAGTGGGCACCGACTATTGCCTGTTGCATAAAACCTGTATAAAGTATATAGGGAGACTAAACTGAATGCTTTTGGCATCAAACCTATGCATTTAACAGGTTAGTTTTAACTACAGATTTTCAAAAAACTGGGTGTAAGTTTGCGACCACTTATTTTTAAAGCAAAGTTAATTTTCCGCTTCATACCTGCCCAAACTAAGCTTGTGTATTCCCATTCTTTTCACAACTCACGGAAACCGCATAAATATCCTCCATCATGATACTGACCACTATTAAAGATGTGGTTATTAAATCAGGACCAAGGCAAGTTCACCAATTTTTGTTTTTTTGTAACATATAATGGATGTGTGAGTCGGTAGTGAATAAGCCTTAGGGCTTTTATTTGACTTTCAAGCCCGTCAGTAAGTTTAGAGTCTCATGAGGTGCCATCAGCGGTAGGTGGTGAAGCGAAACGTTGTGGTCATTGCCTTGATATCCAAACAAAGGGGTGGGCGTGCCGACCGACTTTGCCTCCCGTCTTCAGCACACATGTTGACTGCGTGCGGACGTGCCATGCGCGTCGTGAATGTCGCGCCCCACACCCTTCTCTTACTGGTTTAAACGTCTAAGGCGCAAAAATGCCTGCACAGGTGAATATGTCATTGGTCAAACTGACACATAAATAGAGACCTAAGTGTAAAGCCATTATGTAATTCTAACAGCTGTTGGAATCATCTGTGAGAGGAGTAAGTGTTTTTTTTACTTTCTCGACCACTTTGCTGAAATTTCGAATGCTCAATAAACATTTATTTTATTTGTACTCAGAATTTAAATAATAAAGAACCGACTTACTGCTATTGGCGTCTTGTAAATGAATTACTAACTACTAATAGGCAGATGAAGGCTCATTAGGGAATGATCAAAATTAGAGTATCATTTTCTAGGTTTAAAAAGTGGGATGCCCTATGAACTAATATGCCACCATTTGATGGGGGTCTTCATATTCACTTCATATGTAGTCTTAATTTCACCATTCTTGAGTAAAATTGAAATTCTTTATCTTTCATGTATGCGTGGAAATTATTTCAACGGTAACGAGACTTTGCAGGTCCCTGACCAAATAAATACCTTTTCAGCGGTTGTAATCTGGAAAGAGTCACTTAAATTTTTCCACGCACTGAAAAATCGTTGGACCTATTACCTTCCCGAGTTGATGGATTGAGCCTGAAGAGTAGGCGGAGCCAAAGTGAGCAGATGTGCAGTGCACCAGCCTGCACACCCGGCACCGGAGGCACCACTACACTCTGTCACGCCCTCTCTCACTCACTCAATCACTCACTTGCTCACTTGCAAATCAACTGGCTAGCTAGCTTTCTCCCTTACTTTCTCAAGAATGCATATGCGATGGCAGGTCTGAAAACGTGATCAAATCCTTGATTTGGCAAATTGCAGCCTCCAAACCATCACTCGTCATCTTCATGTTCATCAACCCCTTCATCTTCATTATCATCATCATGGCAATACTATCCTTAGGGAAGCATTAGTTTTAGATGAACTTCAGTTCATGTTGTTTAATATTTTGGGCTAGTCAACTATCAAAAATTGCCATTTTCTTAACGTTAAAAGGCCTTACTATTGACAAAACAGGGGCCTTTAAAATCACTTAGTTCCAAAGAGTTAGAATAACACTATTTCTCAAAGAATTATCACGTAACATTAATTAATCGGAGTTGTTCGCAATACCACCACAACTTATCATTTTGTACTGACAAAGACCACTTGTATCAAATGAAAAGTGTTCATTGTCACATTGCAATGTAAATTTTAAACTATTTTTATTGCTAAGGCCTTGTTTTATTTAAAACATTGTCCAGCTAGAGTACTCATCCCTTCGATAACCATGGAGCTGATTAAAACGAGGTTAAACTGAAAACAACTTAAGTAATGTAGCACATTAAGCCTTCCAAGCATATTTAACTGCAGAACTGCAATCTTTTCTTGCCTCTAGACATGGAAAAAATCATCCAATGGCTAAGAAAAGGTTCCGGCTCTATGTGCCCACCCAGTGCATCAAACTATGCGGAGGGGTCTAGTTTATCTATTCCTAGTACCACTAACGTCAATAGCATGAGCAGGCCATCAACTACCGATTTTTGGAGTAGTTGTGAATATAGAGCCCTCAAGTCGCGCACTGATGCTCTGCTCAACAACACGGTTGTGTCGGAACCCCCCATCACAGCGCCACTCCCGACCCTGCTCACCTCACAGATCTGGCTCAATGGAGTGCTGCCACCATCCATTCCACCTTCTTTCCCTGCACCCCCCTCATCCACACTGTCAAGTCCATCACGGAAATTGGCCTCATGGATGTTGCCAAATAAAGAAAGAGTAAGTGAAATTTTGAAGGAACCAATTCAGTCTCCTCCGTTAAAGTCACAGTATGAATTTCTTCAAAAACTGCCGAAACTACTCCTACCTCAATCAGTATGTGATACAGCTAATGGATTGGCGGCGACAGTTCCTGACGCGAGTCACAAGTGTCACAAATGCATGTGTCCCCTATGCCTAGTGGCAGCATTTGGCAAGTTGGTTCAAACTATGCCTCAAAAATTGCACTTCTGCTGGCGTTGTACCAAATTATACGGCAAGACCAGTCATCTGTCAGCTCACCTACGCAATCACAGTAATACCCGGCCATATAAATGTCATTTCCAAAAATGCGAAAAGGCCTTCACTCGATCAGATGAACTACAGCGCCATATTCGGACTCATACAGGCGAGAAGAAATTCCAATGCCCAATATGCGGGAAGCGGTTTATGCGCAGCGACCATCTAAGCAAGCACCGCAAGACGCACAGGCCTACTGAGGGTCCAAATGCACTTCTTGATGCCGTTGAGATGACGGTGACGTGTGCAATCGCCGCGGAAAAAGGCTCCATGAGGAGAAACGGTATTCCAAACAGCGATTTTGCCTCCGAAGGAAACGACAGGCTTCTCCTCGAAGGAAGGGGATTTGCAGATTTAGATTCGCGACATGGCATCAAAAAAAGAAGACCTGGTCGGTATTCATAAAAGCCTATTTCGAATCAGTTTTATACTTTTGTATAGATAGTTTTTATCTTAATAAAATAGGAAAAAGGCTAGCATGCTTCGCATGTCACGGTGATTTCCAATTCGACCTTTTTAAAATTCCGAAAAATGTGTAATGAAACATCCCTTATGTATTACCTAAGCAAACAACTACACCATAGATTTTTACTAAAACTTTTATTGTGTCTTCAATACAGTAAACTTAGACGGAGATCAGAATTAGGACATTTTGGTAGTTCCGTCAACTCGGCGGCTAAGAGTCCAGCCTGCGTGAAGAAGGTCTGTTCACCAATAAGGCAGCAACTTCCCACTAACAGTATTTTTAAAATAATACCACAAATATGGTAGAGTATTGAAATGTGGAAGACTCATGAGAAGATTGTCGTGCCAAAACTATTGTTTCGACAAAAAGTGGAGGAATTTTTAGGTGACTGTCATGCTAAAAAGTTCACGGTCATCAAAATATGATTTTTCTAAATAGTGCCAAGTTTAAGGGTCCCATAAATTATGAGTTTTGCCATAAATGGCAGCGATTTGTTTGCTCTAATAATGACACCCATTTAGTTTGTTGTAATCTTTGGAATAGTAACTACTGAATGCATTAGTTAACTGAAAACTCTCGTTACCGTCGAACAAGAAAATTAGCGATAGCTTGATAAACCAACAAAGTGCTTGAAGAGCGTATAGCTGATAAGGGCAAAATGTAGTGCCTCCATTAATTTCGAAGTTTTGACCCACTGAACAAAAAGATTAGCAGACTAGTTGAAATAGCTAAGTTGTGATAAATGGGCTGAAGGCAGTTATAGTGGCAGTGGATAGAATTTGATTCAATTTACTTGTAGGTTGGCATCAAAGTTTAAAGTATCAATTTTCCAACACCACCAGTAGATATCATGGAAAGTTGGCCGGCCAACTTCAAAGTGTACTAAAAGGGGGAGTATCAGAGGAAGAAACTTTGTTTAAATTCAGCCTCTGGTGTTACATCGGCATGCAGCGGATTTTTATATCAGAATTTTTTCAGCGAAACAAACTGCGTAAGAATAGAGACTAAGTACTACGTATGGGTGTTAACTTGGGGACCCTAGTCTCTGCAAGCCACCATCCACTACTAGTCTGAAAGACAAGGTAATTTCGCAAGATTACAATTATCATAAGTAGCTCGAACTAGGCAGGGGTAAAAGGTAGTTGATAAAAGGTAAATTCGTCCAGCCGTAATACGGGGTACTCAATTGTGCAAATACCAAACAGGTAACGACAGGACTCATCAAACAAGGCATCGACCATCACCAGCGCTTTCACAAATTGGAACAGTTATGTGATACATGAATTTGCACTGAGATATGGAGACACCAGTCGAGATTTTACTGCTCTCAGTGTTTCGTTGTGACCGAGAGGCCTTAGTAAATCAACGTTGGGAGGGCAGAATTGTGTCAATGCTTCAGGATGTACAGTAGCTAATACACTGCTACTTCAATGTCCTATGACAAGACTAGTTTTAGTATCTATGTTATATATGAATGCCAAATTAAACAATATTGCACCGTTTGCTAATCGTGGAACAAAGAATCAGTGGATAGTGCAACATTTGTTAAAGTGAGTTTTTACGAATTGGTGATTTTTCATGAAAGCATCGCGATAGCAACACACATGTACGTATAAGAATGCCCCATGCAACAGCGGCACCGTCACCGATGTCCCATTGTTGGGCTTCATGTCACAGGTCTTGTAAATAACTTCACGTAATTTGTAAGTTAACAGAAGGAATGCATTCAGCTACAGCATGGGGAACACTCCGACCCCAAGACGAGTAATGATAGATTGGAATTAGTACTGCCAATGCAAAATCTCACCAAAAATGATTAATACTTAGTTAAGAGAATGAAAGCAACACCCCAGTCCTGGACTTGAATGTTCAAGTCTGATCAACCAACCACCCACTAAGCTATATGAGACGTGACCCACGATTCCTTCAGAGATCAAACCAGCACAAGACTTGTTGGGAATGTACTTATCTTACACAGAGCATAGTAAAGTCTACACTAAAGCACGATTTAACGAGTATTTGCAAAAAACGCATAGCAAATCCAGTGTTATTGGACCCGAACGATCATATGTCAAATCCAATCCAGTTTAATATGAATACAAACCACAAAAACTACGGTTCCTCATAGTTAAGAAGACAAAGAAAAAACAACTGGAACCCAATCCTATCGTTGCCTCACAACCCTTTGGGGCACCAATTGTGAAGGCCTTTTGAAAAACGTGTGTATTGAATTAAACAAAGTATACAGGTAGTGAAATCGTAAATAAGAAGATTTTGGGGATTTATTGCTGCTTTTTGACGCTATAATCAGAGAGCGTGTGCTTGAAAATACGACAAAGTTTCTTTTGGAAAGCTTTTGTGGAGAATTTCTGCAAAACATGTGCATGACAGTGTTTCCCCATCGTCGTTGTAAGTTCTGGATCATTGATAAATCTACAAAACGAGTGGAGAAGAAAATTTACACAAAAAGAACTCACAAGCGCATGAAAGCTTAATTGCGAGTCCTATTGGTCTGATATTCGAAAGATCCCAATACATGAGCAATAAATGCAATGCAATTACGTGTCCTCTAAAGTATGTACCCACATTCAAGGAAACATTCATTAATGATCATTTCAACGGTTCACAAAAGAAATTTTGAAAGTGTAATGCCGAAGAAATCAGCTGTATCGGACTTTGGATAAATGAGGTAAAATCTGGAAATCGAAAAACAACTTGCGGCAACCAGTGGCACGCCTAGGAAATAATGGCAAAGTGGCCATCGGTTCAGAGATAGCACCCAAGGTCTTTGACTCACCGCGTACGGGACGCCATTGGTAAAATGTGTAGATTGAACAACTAGAAACTCACTTGCACATGTATTCAGCAATCTGGGAGGCGGTTTCCACATTGTCAAAAGTACCGCTGCTGGGGATGGGACAAAGAAACCCGGTTTCGCAGTGAACGAGAGTCTCACGTGGACCCCCAGCATCCATGGCAATGACAGGCCGACCGAGGTACATGGCCTCAATTGGCACAATGCCGAAGTGCTCGAAGGCAGGGGTATAAATTAAGGCTGAGCTCGCCGCAATCAACAGGGATTTGGTGCCAGATGGTACGGATCGCAGCAGCACAGCCTGTTCCGAAATCTTCAAAAGTTTAAAATCCGTTGACTTCACAGAGGGAGTCATACTTATGTCGACTTTAGCTGCATGATTCACAAACCTTCAAATCCTCCAACAACTGTTTCAGTTCATCGAAATACTCCACATTTTCACGAACCCGTACGTCATACCCACCGGCATGAACAATATAAACATCGGAGGGAGACAAGGGTGAATCCTTTACCAATTTTGACCAATTTCCTTTTAAAATAGCTACATGAAAATAACAAAAGAAGATTTAAGAACCTACATCCTACCATTATCAACCCGACCATCAGAAAGTCCGACTATGTTAATTTGAAGCTACTAAGTTGAATGAAAGTAGTTAATAAAACGGTTTCGGTAAACAAAGCTGAATTAGCACTGTGCAGCATGAATCAAACAATTAGTAGAAGTCACAGATGTGGGGCAAGTTTGCGCTCTATCAATAATTTGTGCACAATTATGAATAATAGATAAGTAGGTAAAATCATGAGCCTAAGTCAAAACAACATACCAAATGACTCAAAGGCGAGTCGGATATTCTTTTTCCTTTCATAACGATTTATTGACAAAAACATTAATTTAGGACGAACGCCTAAGACATCTTGAAGGCTCTGAAGGGCCGCCTTTGCATTCGGGGGTTGGTAAGGTGTATTTGACACTTCACAAACCTCGCGAGGTAATACCAAGTTATCGGTGTTTGGAACGGGATACAATACATATACTTTATGGTTTTTAAGCGAAGAAAACGTTTGCTTAAAGGTGGCACCAGTGAAGTGACTGTTGACAACTAGTGTATCAGCCATGCCAGTTGAAAACTCTTCAAAAAGGTCTAGTGGATACCTGTAAACTTTTCGAATCCAGGAATCATGAGACGACAGTAGTAAATCGGGGAAGTGACCGAAGAATATTGTCTAGATTTGCTATTGACATTCTTAAAAGAACTTACTTTGATACCGGCTAACTTCAGTACAAGCAGGGGAGCAGACACCTGATCCACAAATACCAAATCAACCAGTCTTCGACGAGCGAATACGATCCAAACAGAGGCTAGAATCATTTTCATGTAGGCGCACAATGCTAAGAAATGACCCATCACACTTCTCGGTAGCCATTGACAAACTGGAGTAACTTTGAGAGAGCCATCTACCGTCTCTTCGAAAGCATGATTAATATCATGAAAATTCGTAACAATTTCGACGTCGTATCCAGCGTGCTTTGCAGCCATTGCTGCATCAACAATCGCGCGCTCAGCCCCACCAATGCCCAAATCCGGATGTAGGAATAATACAGACATGAATGCGTCGTCACAAATTCCAAGTGGAACACAGACAAACCAATGAAATCATAGCCAAACTTCAACCGCTAACATCATATATCCCCCAAGCAGATTTAATCAAGAATAACAATAAGTCCAATCAGTTAAGAAATAAAGTAGTGCGCTTGCGATTTGTTAATTATTATTTTCCTGAATGATGCAAAGTTAATTAGGATTATTGCATATTTAGCAGTGAACAAAATCAAGGTCATTTTACAGTTCACCCAAAAATTTTAGCAGCTATAATTCTTAAAGAGAAAAGTCTTTAGGGGTTACAAACTACCAAATTTTGACCCCATAGCAATGATTTAGAAAGTCACACTGCAGAAACACACTTCGATTATAAACAACAATATCTATTATTGCTGCAGCGCTGCCAGACTTCCTGGAGAAAAAACGAAAACACCCAAGCAGAATACATTTTATCTACATATAAAAGAGAATGAAGCTACTGCCATGGCTTAGAGGTTAGGCCGTCAGGCAGAGGTCTTATGTGGTCCGTTACCGAAACCGAGAGTTAAACAAACCAATAACGTAGTACCTAGTAATCTATTATTTTTGAGCATCGTCTCCGGTGGTCCACTTGGTCAGCCTTCTTTGTCACCCATCACGAC